TGTCTTAATTTGACAAAATCATTTGCAGGCTTATATTTCAAGAAACAATGTTATGATTGAATGTTGACACATGAAGATATTTTGTAATTCATGTTATAATTTACAGTATAATTAATATTAAGATGTTAAAGAATTTAAATAAAAATTCAAAAAATTATGTAATAAAAATTAATTGTCAGTTTTTGTGCCAATACTGTAAGTGGTGGTGAATAGAATTATAGAAATAGTAGTTAATAATCTTGTTAAGTCATATATGCCTCAAGGAGACCTAACTTATTGTTGTGCGAGTACTGGTCCCGGATTTGCGACAGAATCGTCAATAAAGATAAGTGATGGCTATTAAATCCATGATAAAGTTTACGTATATCAAAATATAATCCTTAATTATAATGACAACCAATTAGACCGAAAAACATTCCTCAAAATAAGACATTACCTTTTTAGAAACTAGTGCAGGAACTCTTGATTCTAATAAACAAATTCTTAAAGATACAGAATGATACTAAAGAGTGGTTAAAACCGTTAGTTAATGAAAATAATGGATTTTCTTACAAATTCACTATCAATTTAAATGTAGGATGTCACAAACGTGTATGGAGAAAGAAAAAAGATGTTCATTGTATAGATTTGAAATAGAAAGGAGACACACATTCGTGGCTAGAGTGTTATCGTCCAAAGCTAACAAATGATAAAGAGAAAAAATAAGGATAATAAGTGACTATTTTCGAGGTATTGCAGCAGATAGTATAAATATCATTAGGTATGTCTTACCTTCTGAAGCGATGATCATGATTATGAAGGAAGCTTTGTACCGGCCTTCTTGCATTATTTTGTATCGTGTCCTCCGAACAACAATATCAATGGCAAGTGGACTTTTCCAGTTTGAAAATGAAAAGGTGTTAGCTTACATTTATAAGTTTCGGAAGGGAAGGATGGCATCAGTACCTACTATTAGGGACGCAACGATGTTAGGGGGAGCAATTAATGTGGCAAGTGAGATCGAAGAGGCTGAAGATATTATACCACCTTATACTGAAAGAAAATCAACTCCGTATAGTCATAGTTAGGGATACTGATCAATGAAGTAAAAAAAGCAACACCATCCGTAAGGGTGCCTAGTTAGAAGAAAGGTCCTGTTATGATAAGAAAGTTATCTGCATATGACAATGTTGATGACATCCTGTTAAATTGTATAATCATTATGATCATACAGGAGCATCAGAATTAGAAGCGGACACCATCTAAAGAGAAACAAATTTTTATTAATGCCATGGAAAGAAAATCATCAAAAGGTGTCAAGTGAAGGTCCAATCTCAAATAATTAGACTAAGAAGGTACTTCCTAATAAAATCGAAAATGTCTTGTGGAATAGAGATCCACGTGAGAAGGAAAGACGAATAAAGACGAAAAAGAATGGCTTATATGCTTTGAGGGAGATGAAGGAGAAGCGATATGGGAGATGCGTAGTAGTTCTAATTCTGATAATAAAACATGACTGGAGATATCAGGTTCCGCCACGTATCCCTCCCAATTGGATGATGAAATTGAAAAGGAAGGAAAGAACAACTGGAGCTGCAACATCAGGAGTAGGAATTTGAAAAACAGTCGGGAAAGAAGGCTACCTCGCCAAATAGATGCATGATGGACCATGAATTACACCCTAACATTTCAGCCCCGCCGTATGGATGGCTTAATAGAGAGAATCGTCAATGCCGCCTTCAGAAGACCAGTCAGAAGTTGTAAAAGGAAAAGTTAGGAAACTAGAGCGAACGTAAAGTCACGAGTGACCCGAATAAGTAGAAGAAACATGGCAAAAAATTTTTAAATAATTATTATTTATAAATTTTATTTTAACCAAAAATTATTTTATTTATATCTTTATTAGCTTCTATATTTAATTTATAATTACAAAATATTTACCAAACATAGATAATTATATAAACAAATAAATCTTTTTTATTCTACCGAATGATATGGATTTGGTGACTCCTTTCACAAGATAACAAAAATCTCCAGAAAAAGACTTTTTAAAGTATTGATAAGTCTCCACATTGATTTGTATGCCGACTGGAGGTATTGGACTTTCGGATCGAGATATTTAATCATAGCTCTACTCGGGATGGTAGTCGAAGAACCGGGTGGTAGGGTGTTCAGACCGCGATAGTGTTCCT